TGCCCGGAAAAAATCTAATCTAATCCGACTGCACTAATTGTTCCATTGAAGGATATCCACGCCACTTCCTAGTAATTTGGGTGCGATTTTGCTGGGTCAGCAATAAATTATGACCGAAAACCGAATGCCTTTTGTTCCTTTATGTATGCAAGGGCTGATGGTCAAAAAAAGGTCATAACATTTTTTGTGAATAACGTTTTACCATTTTATCGAAACTTCATTTGAACACAAAAAAAGGTGACCACATTTTTTATCTTTTCCACTTAAGGGCAGTAAAATGTGAAAAATCTTCTATTTTCATGCTAATCACTGATTACAATTCATCTTATGGCTTAATTGAAAATTAGCCATTTAATACTTCAGCTATGTTTGATATAAACAAATATTGAAACATGCCCAGACTAGGTAAATAGCGCCTATACAAACTTAAATGTAGTTCGACCACTACTCCACTGGGCAGATGCAACAAATGCTATTTTACTTCAGAAGCACTGCTATTGGTCGAAAAAGATCAAGTTTCAAGGCCAAAGAACAGCTCAGAATTCCGAAAAAACAGTCAGTCAGCCACAGCCTGTGACTCACAGGCCTGGTCACATTAAAGGAAATATCGGAGACGGCTGTTACTGCTGTTACTGCTGCTACCCGATATTTTTTGTTCATTGAATATTCCTATATGCCGACTCATGGTGCACGTCCCACTCCCATACATACAAAACCTTACCACTTCACGAGAATAAAATATCTCTCCTTTCACTAAAACTCAGGCCAATTGACAACGCCGCGGGGAATCAAAAGGCATAAAGGCAGGTATTTGCCTTTTTGCTTTGTTGAAATATCGAAATCCCAGATGTTGACTGTTACTGAACAACATCGTAGGCGAGCCCTGTTATTTCAAATCACATGTTATTTTAAATCTCGGTAACAGGTACCGACTGTTCCATATCTGTTCCAAAATGCCTGTGACAAATATTTCGTGTCAACCCTAATTCCCATTACGGCTTGTAAACTACAAGAATGAACTGAGATGAAGAGAACACAGCCCCCGATAATTATTAATAAGAGTTGGGGGCTAATAAAAGAAAATGCGAAGAGTGAAATATCGTACTCAACAGTGTATCTCAAAGGCAAAAATATCTTTTGAAGCTTAATCTCTGGCAGGCTCTTAAGCAGGATAATCGATAAGGCCTCTCCGACTGGTTCGGGCCCGCTTTGCAAAGGGAGGAAAATGGTAATTAGGGCATTACTAATTCTTATTTAAATTTAGTTGGCTTTGCCGCAAATTGTATTATTTCTTCTAGATGTTCAACGGTCTGATGCGTTCGGAAATTCAAATGAAATTTAATCTCAATGAGACTTCGAAGATTAACCGGTTTAAATTCGAATCTAATCTGGGACTGATTTTTCGCGAGAGGAAAACCGACGGCTTCTGCCGCGGCAATTTTAACACGCACACATTTATAAACTAATTAATTAATTAATAAGCTGGATACTTAGTAGATGCTTAACAACGATAAACTCTAAGTTTGTCTTAGTCGGGATTAGACTAAAAGTAATTTCAGCGACGCGAGTAACTCAAGACTCGCACAGACAACTTCCAAAAGGTAATTAGAGATCATTAAGCTGTGTACAAATATCTCCTGCTCACCTAACTTATGTTTTACGCCAGATAAACAAGTAAGTGAGACGTTTGGGCGTCCTTAAGCTCCCGTTTCGGGTTTATCGATCCTCCTATGCCCCCATAGAGGAGACGACGGAACATTATAATACGGGAGTAGTTCGGGTTGGGGAACTTGTCGGTTGCAATGTCATTGATGTTGCGGATTTGCCACCAAATCTTTATGGAGCTTGTTGGCTTCGAATTGGGGTAATCAATGTCTCGCTTTGGAGCCACTTACAAACAACGGCACTAAAGACGTTTAATCCCCGAAATTTCCCGAGGACTAGAGAGTGATAGGAGGCAAATCACCTTTGAAGATGCCTGCTGAATTGTTAGTTGCTTTTCTCTAAATAAAAGACATGACTTTAACCTGCTGGTGAATGTTGAATTCCAAGCACCCATTTCCGCATTTCGGTTACTTGTTGAGCCCTATTAGCTAAACCGCAGCCATTCTTCAAGACACCCGCTAAATAACCTGTGTGTAGATAAGTTCTATAGTGTTGAGGCGGATTCATTTTTTTACAAACTTCTTTTTGGGTATTTTGCCTCAAAAATTTTTGTCTTTAAAAAGGACAGAATTTCGTCACGTCTTTTATTACAGATTGGTAAATAGTGCTTCTATTTCGCAATAAGAACGAATTATTTATCAAAAAGTAATCAAGAACTATCACCTAGAGGGTATCCTGCGACACACTTAGGCTCAAGCTGTAAGAGAAAATTCCAATTAGTAGAGTAATTAATTTGAAAAATTACCTTGACGTTTCGATAGCTATTTTCTGCTATCGTTATCAAAAGAACCTAAATGAACCTAAAAAAGAGTATGTTAATAAATTGTGTAACAATAGTAGGATAATACAGTATATGAAACTTCGCTCTGATAATTCGTCTGTGCAAATTGTCAGTTATGTGACTTTGACTTAATCTCATTGTTTAAATTAATAAAGGTAATGTTAATTAATAATT